CTTTATTGTCTTGTCCAGCTGCCCACAGCAAAGAGAAGTTAAGCCACTTAGCAATGGTCACATAGCTTATTTGTGTCAAAGGCAGGATTTGAATTCAGGTCTTCCTGACTCTTAGACCAGCTTTCTATCCACTATGCCATACTGCCTCTTGATGATGATGATGTTGATGATGATGATGATGATAAATGACCAAACAAGTGCACATTGATTTAGTACAAGTGGGTAGTTCCTTCTGTCCCTAGGAAAACTTACCTTGGTCAGGGCCTAACTAGCCAAAAGCTACTGGCCTGGGGACCTTCAAGCCTGAGCATCTGAAAAGTCCCTTTCTCAATCTCCCATAGATCCTGTAGAGTATATGGGAAGAGCCCTTCCACAAGTTAATCAATCAATCAATCAATCAATCAATCAACATTTATCAAGTGCCTACTATGCGTCAGGCCCTATATTAAGTGCTGGGATCCAAAGATTAAAGCAAAATGGTCTCTGGCTTCAAGGGGATCACATTCTAATGAAGAAGACAACACCCAAATATGGAGGTACATAAGGCATGCATAATTCAAATACCAGGTAACCTGGGAAGAGAAGGTCCTGGTAGATGGAAGAGAAGGTCCTGGTAGATGGGAAGACAAGGAAAAGCCAACTGCAATAGGCAACACCTGAGTGACTCCTGAAAGAAGCCAGACATTCTAAGAGGTAGAGATAAGAAAAGAAAGCATTCGAGGTATGGGGGAGAGCCAACTGAAACGTAGAGAAGTGGGAGACGGAATATTATTTGAGAGGAACTGCAAATAGATCAGTATGGTTGGACAGCAAAGTATGTTGAAGAGAGCAATTTGAGACTAGAAATGTAGAAAGGGGCCAGGTTGTGAAAAGCTTTAAATGCCAAATAGAGAAGTTCATATTTGATCCTAGAGGTAATTGGGAGCCACTGGAGCTTAGTAAGTAGGGGGTGACGTGAACAGATCTGTGCTTTAGGAGAATCAATTTGACATAGGCATGGAGGTTGGATTAGAGTGGAGAGAGATTTGAGTCACAGAGAACAATTAGGAGTTTGTTGCAATAGTATAGGTGAGAAGTGATGGTCTGAACTGGGGTAGTGACTGTCAGAATAGAGAGAAGGGAGCATGAGAGATGAGATATTGAGATATAGAGACAAGATTTGGCAAGCGATTGGATATGTGGGAGGAGTAAGAGGAGTGATAGCAGGGTTGCAAATCTGGGTGACTGGAATGATGATGATACTCTCAGAAGTAACAGGGAAATTCAGAAGGGTGGCAAGGCAAAGATAACAACTTCTCTTTTGGATATGCTGAATCTGAGCTACCTATAGGACATTCAGTTTGAAATATATACATAGGAAGTTGGAGATCTGCAACTGGAGCTCAAGAAAGGGCCTGCCTGGGGTTAGATTGGGGATCATCTGTGTAGGGATGATAATTGAACCCATGTGAACTGATGAGGTCAGTGGAAGAGAGAATATAGAATGAAAAGAGAAGAGGACTCAGCATAGAATCTGAGGGTTACATTCATAGTTAGTGGGCATGTTGTTAATGATGACCCAGAATAGGAGACTGAGAAGGAATAGTTGCATAGGTAGGAGAAGTGGGGGCTAACAATAGTAAGAGAATCCAAAAGGGAGGGTTGAAGGCAACAGGAAAGGAACCAGTAGACAAGGAGAAAGAGAATATTGGAGAGAAAGGGGGGATGATAGTAGGGCCAATCTACTGGAGAAGATGAGAAGGGATGGGATCAAGCAAACATGTAGAAGGATTGGTCTTGGTAAGAGAAGGGCCACCTCTTCATCAGAGAATCAAGTAAAGGAGGAAATCTCAGGGAATGTAGTTGAGGAATTGTGAGATGAGGAGAGGAAAAGAAGTTTGTGGCAAATGTCCTCTACTGTCTCTACAAAATATTAGGAGAGGACCTTGGCTGAAAGAGCAGGGAGATGAAGTGCCATGAGAGACTTGAGATGAGAAGGCAGGGTCTGGAACAATTATTGATAGAAAATCAATTAAGATTGCCTTGATGCGCTAAAGGCCCATGAGATTAGAGAACAAGTCTGCAATGGACTTAATTGATGCAGTTGTGTGACTTCCTCCAATTACATTTAGTAGCACAGGAGTAGGAGGAAAGAGATGGCAAGAGTAATAATTCAAGGCACAAGTGGCAATAGGACAAGAGAGCAAGAGTTCAAGAGTAGATGACACAGGTCTGCATCCCAAAGAGATAAAAAAAACAAAAAGAAAAAGGACCTATATGTACAAAAATATTTAAAGCAGCTCTTTTTGTGGTGTCAAAGAATTGGAAATTGAGGAGATGTCCATCAATTGGGGAATGGCTGAACAAGTGGTATATGATTATGATGGAATACTATGTTATTATAAGAAATGAAGAGCAGGATGCTTTCATAAAAACCTGGAAAGACTTATAAAAACTGACGCAAAGTAAAGTGACCAGAATCGGGACAACATCATACACAGTAACAGCAATATCGTACAGATGAATAACAGTGAATGACTGAGCTATTCTCAGGAATCCAAAAATCGAAGATAATTCCTAAGCACTTATGATGGAAAATGCTATCCACTTCCAGAGGAAGAACTGATGGAGTCTGCATGCAGATCAAAGCATTTTAGTTTTTGTTTTTTGGTCTGTGCTTTTTTTTTTTCCTACAACATGACTAATATGAAACATGTTTAGCATGACTGCACATGTATAACATATACCAAATTGCTTGCCATCTCAGGGAGGGGAGAGAGTATGGGGGGAGGGAGAGAATTTGGAACTCAAAATTTTAAAAAAAGGATGTCAAAATAGTTTTTAAATGTAATTGGATTTTTTTTTTAAAGAATAGAAGATAGTATAGATTTGAACTGGTTTGAAAAGGGGAAGAGTAAGTTAGGGTTTGAGAAGGGGAAAGAGTATAACCAGAATAGGGGTAATTTGCCTGGGAAAGAGCTGAAGGAAAAAGGGATTGGAGGTCACAGTGAGGATAAACCTTGTCTTCACCCCCCTTGAAATTTGATCCTTGAAGATCCCAGCTCTTCCTGAACTGACCCAAGGCTGGTTGACAGGAAGATAGTGAAGCAAGATCTTCCAGTCCTTGTGATAGGTACTCAGAGCAACAGTGAATGACCAGCACAACCCTGGGCAATGATGACCTCTGTGAACAAAGATCCCAGAAAACAGTGACTTCAGAGGATGGCAACTTTTTAGGATCGTGACCCTGGATGCCAGTGTCCTTCAGGACAGTGACCCCAAGAATATAGTGACCTTTAAGGACGATGAACCTTGGTGACAGTAACACTTAAGACAATGATTCTGCACAATGGTAACTCCAGAGGATGTCTTGCTCTGGGGATGGCAGGATAGAAAACAGGTTAATTCTATCATGTTTCATTTGTTTTCCTAAGATTAGTACCCGGATTTTATATCCGGTTAACTGCTGTTGGCTTAAACCCCAGGACCAAAGGATTCTGAATGAATTCCAGAGTCTTTTGTCCTGAAGATTGTGACTGTTTTGAGAATGATCAGCCTGGGAGATATTATTTCAAAGGGCCTTACTGCTAAAAAACTGGGGTGCTAGTCAACCTTGCCTGAAGCCCCTATGAAGTTAGGCAGATGAAGGTGAACTGCCATCTTATACCTGGACAGTTGTGGCCCATGGATGATGGTAACTTCTGGTACCGGGATTTCAGAACTCATTCACAGATACTAATCAAACTATACCAGATGTGGAACCCTCTCCTGTCCAGTGCCACTGTCCCATAGAAAAAATTAGCATAAAATAAGCATCTTAAATTCAAAACTTTCTTTTTTTTATCATCTGTGTCTGTCTGTCTGTCTCTTTTGTTAGCATGTTGGAATGAACAGAGAGCTGGCTTTGGAGCTATGAAGATCTTGGTTGAAGACATACAAACATCTTAACTTCCCATCACTGCATACAACTGCTGGAGAATGTAATTTCAGAGTGTCAACCTGAATTGATAGAGGGAATTTCTTCATCTGGAAGTTTCCATATCAGTGAAACAACGAGCATAGTCCCTATCTTTCTTAAGATCTCCTATCAACCCTGCTCCTGACACTTTGAGCAGAGAACTTTAATGAGAAGAAAGACCTTTGGATGTGAGATCCCTTTCCCGTTTCCCTCTCCTTAAAACTTCTTTGCCTTTTTAATTCAGTTGAAGAAATCCTTATTATATCCTATGTACAAAGCCCTGTGACAGGTTCAGGGGATATAAAGATATGACATTGACTCTGCTTTCAAGGAGCACATAATCTCCCAATAGGGTCAATAATTTATATATATTCAAATGTGGGAATTCAGTTGAAACTTTCTTCATCATTCATGAACCACTCCTGGGGTACATTAAAAAGAATTGATTTTTGGACATGAGAGAATAAGATTATGGAAGGAAAAAGATGGAGATATCAAACTGTGTATGGGTTTGATGAGGGGTTTGCACATAAGGAAGTAGTGTCATATGGAAATGCTGAAATAACATTAGAATCATATCAGGGAAGAGCATGCCCATGCCCTTGCCAGTATTAGAGAGATATGTATATCCAAGAACTCTGTGCACTAATGAGTAATAAACCACAGAGCTATGCCAAGAGGAAACCAGATTAATCCCTTTACTGGTACTTCGAGCCGTGTATGTCCTGATGGAAAGTTGGACCCACCAGAAGCGAATACTGCTTGACATCTTCTACAAAAGGGAAAGTTTTTCTGAGAGTGGAGGGGTTCAGGTATGATCTTGTTCTGCACTTTACAAAATCAAGTCAAATAAAAATTTTGCTGTAGTCAATTGGATAAGGAAGGTCATCTAGGTATTTCACTTCTCCCAGGCTTTCTTAATCCATATTCATATTGCTGGCAACACTTAGATGTGAAAATGAGATTACCCCAGAAGTCCTTGCCTTGCAACTGATGCCTTTTGTAACCAGAAACGTTACTTTAGTTTGAACTAAATCTGGGAAAGAATAACTTGCAATTTGTAGTTAGCAGTCACCTCCTGCCCCCACACCCATTCCTCTAGTTGCCACAAAGGGAAACTCAACCTTAGAAGGTTACACTACTCAATTTATACTTAACCTCTAGCTCAAGAAAGAACAAGGAACTTATCCACCAAGACTGGAAAATGGAACTTAATCTTACTCAGCTCCGCTTTCTTCAGCTGCCAGAAAGGAGACAGCCTTTAAAAAGAGTCTTATAATCCTTTGATTATTTTATTCCTACAAAGATATATGTCTTACTCTAAGTTATCTGCTACTAAATAAAATCTTATCAATCTAGTCACTAAATGTATAGGTAACCTAGACTTAAGAGAATATCTGTGTTAGTTTGGCTAGCTTTTCCTAAACTAAAGAGCTTAATCCTACAATCAAATGAAAAATGAATCAAAGTAATCAGTACTAACTGATTGAAAGAACATTCCTTTTCACAACAAAATTCAAATTCCTTTTGACAGAGACAGGGAAGTTATGGAGAGGACACATTTTAGAAGGTAAAGATGAGTTCCTATTTCACAGAATCTTGAGAGTTGGAAAGCACCACAGAGGTACTCTATTCTAATCCATAGCTGCACAGAAATTCCTCTACAACAGTCCTGACAAGTATTCAACCAACATTTACTTGTAGACCTCCTGTGATTAGGAATGGACTACTTCCTGAGGCAACTCATTCCATTTTTTAGACTGTTCTAATTGTTAAGAAGGATTTTTTCCTTTTATATACAGTACACACCTTTTTCTCTGTAACTCCTGACCTTTGTTCTAGTTCTGCCCTTTCTGGCCAAGCAGATCAAGTCTAACTTCTATTTCATGTGACAGTCCTTTAAATACATGGAGGCAGCCATTTCATACCCTCTGAGTCTTCTCCAGGTTAAATATCTCTAGTTCCTTCACCTGATCCTCAAATGGTACTTTTACTATATTGATCATTGCATCTTCCTTTCACTCGTCATTCCCTACCTCATTTTTAATGGAGCTTACCTCCAGCTTAGGGGAATAATTCTGTTATTCTTGATCTTTGTGATCTCACTTTCTAGATCCTATTGAAGTTCTCTTTCCTAGTTATTTCTCTGACTCTCTGGAAAGCTTAGCCTTCTTCAGTTGTAGGGTAGACAGGACTCCCTCCTCCGGCCAGCTTAGCTTGTATTTCATATTCATACTTCCCACCAGGCAATCAGGGAAATATACAGTACCCTTCTCCTTCCTTGGTTGTTTTCATTGTATAGAGGTAGGAGGGTGATCAATGAAGGTAGAGGGGTCTGTCCTTTAGCAGACATGTGGTGGATCCAGGGTGGGGATCTTTCCAGTGAAAAGCCATTGAGCCAAAGCCCCCACCTCTGACTGCTCAGTGACTTCCTTTCACAGTGTAGTCCCCCTCATTAGAACAGGAAAATTAGTTAGCCCTCTGGGAACTCAGTCAGTGATGTTGACTGAATGATTCATGTGTTGCTAATCTCTGAGTGGTTTCCATAGCCTAATCCTGCACTCAATCATAGTTTTTGTAGTGTCCATAGCCTCAAGGAGATCTTGAAACCTGATCTTTAGAAAGGGGAGGTAATTGGTCTGAAACCTGAAGGGCCTCCCTTATGCCACTACTCCTGGGCTGTGCAGGTATATATAGTCCTGGACAGGATGGGATGTACCTGCACCATGAAGTCAGCAGTGGTCTTCATGCTGCTCAGTGGCATTGCCATGCTGTTGCAGTTCCAAGTGGGTAGGTACTCATGGGAACAGACTTCCCAACTAGCACCTGCTCCCAAGGCAGAGAAGCAGTTGGCAAGTGGGCCTGACAGAGCTGTGTGTGTGTGTATTGAGGGTGGGGCTCTGCCAGATTGGGGCTCAGTGCATTTGGTTTAAGAGTAATCCTAATGATGGGTAAAGTGTGGTCAGATCCCCTCAGGAGACTAATTGGTAGTTTGTTATCCTTTCCAGATTGTGAAATATGCCCAGCTGTTGCAGACGATGTCTTTGCATATATTAGGGGCACGCCTGAACAATATCTGGATGTTGTAAGAAAACACACGGGTAATCAAGAAGTTATAGAAAATGCCAGAAAGCTGAAAGCCTGTATTGATTCAAAGCTGACAACCGAGGACAAGGATGCTGCCGTCAGCTTGGTGGTAATTCTGATTCTGTGTGTGTGTGTGTGACTCCATGTATATGTGTACATCCATTCAAAGCTTAAAATTCTTTCTGGGTTCTTCCATAGTCCAGATGCTGGCTCAGTGAGGACTTCATGCAATTTTTGTAAGTGCAGAGAGTCAACCACTATCTTTTTTTTTGTTTTTTAGTTTTTCTTTTAGGCAATTGGGGTTAAGTGACTTGCCCAGGGTCACACAGCTAGTAAGTGTCAAATGTTTGGTCTGAGGCAGGATTTGAACTCAGGTCCTCCTGACTTCAGGGCTGGTGCTCTATCCACTGAGCCACCTAACTGCCCCTAGTCATCCATTGTCTTGTGGTTCAGCTCTGCCACCCTTACTCCAGTTTCAGAGGAGGAAGAAATATAGTTTAATTATTGAATGTATGAAGGATATGATACAATCCAATGGGCTTTGTTCATTTCTGTACCCAGAAGTGCCATACAATTGAATTCAATAAGCATTTATTTAGTACTCACTACATAATGGGTAGATGCTAACAATACAAAATATAAAAAAAAAGTCTCAATTTCTGCCCTCAAATAACCTACATTCTAATTGAAGGGGAGGATTCAGTATGTACCCAAGTGAGTATTATACAAGCAGAGTGAGAGGTCTAAGTCAAGTATTATAGGAAATTTGAGGGCTGAGAGAATGTCCCTCTCAGGGACTGAGTTGGGGCGTAAAGGAAGGGAGGAATCTTAGTGGACAGAGTTTGAGGGAGTTATTTCAAGGGTGTTTGAAGGCACAGAGATGATGAAGATGGTGATAATGATGTCAGTTTACATTTATGTAGTACTTTAAGGTCTACGAAGTACTTTATGTAACTTATTTCATTTGAGTTAGGTTGAGACAAGGGGGATGGAGAATAGCTGAGTTTCATTGGAATATAGACTATAAGATGAAGAGTAGCATAAAACTAGAATAGTTAGGCTGGAACCAGATTACGGAAGGCCTTGAATGACAGAGTCAGGAGCTTAAAATTATTTGATAGGTAATTAGGAGACTTTGAAGGTTTTTGAGTAAAGGAGACATGCATGAGAAAGTTTTTTAGTGTTGGTATGAATGATGAATTGGAGAGGGGATAGCCTAAGCACAAGGTGTGTTAGAAGGCAATTATAATGATCTAAATGAGGAGAAACGAGGCCCTGATGTGGACTGGTTGCAGCAGGAATGTGGAGGAATGATTGTATGGGAAAGATATTGAGAGACAGAAATGATAATATTTGTCATATAATCAAATGTATATGTGAAGGAGAGGGAAGATTCAAAGATTCCATACAATTAAGAAAACACCTATTAAGTTGCCTCTAAGGGCAGGGCATTGTGCTGTGCTCTCAGGTTATAAGGAAAAGAAAGAGTCCCTGCCTTCCAGGAGATCATATTTTATGGAGTGGGGTGGGAATGGAGAGTTCAACTTTCAGTGCAGCTGAATGTTGCAAAGGAAGAGTTCTAGATATAAGTAGAGGTCCTGAGTTTGAATCCTGACTCTGTCACTACGTTTGTGCTTGTGACCTTGGGCAAGTCACATGGGGCTTATGGGCTTCAGTTTCCTGATCTTTAAAATGCAGAGTTTGCACTAGATAATCTCAGGGTCCCTTTGCACCTCTGAGTCTATAATCTTGTGATCTTATATATACAGACAAGTAGTATGCTGTTCAGCCATTTCAGTTGTTTGCAACTCCTTGTCACCTCATTTGGGGCTTTCTTGGCAAAGATGCTAGAGTGGTTTGCCATTTCCTTCTCCAGCATGTATTACAGATGAGGAACTGAGGCAAACAGGGTTAAGTGCCTTGCCTAGGGTTACACAGCTAGTGTATGTCTGAGGATGGATTTGAACTCAGGAAGAGGAGTCTTCCTGATTCCAAGCCCAGCGCTCTGTCCACTGAGCCACTGGCTCCCTCCAACCATAACCCTAATTCCAAGGATGAGAACAAAGAAAGGATCTGACAATAAGGAGGTGACTTTGGAGAGAGAATTTTAGTAGAGTAATTTGACAGAAAGACCAAAGAAAAATTAAGCCTAATCCCAACTCTAACTGTAGAAACACTGAAGCCCATTCATTCTTCCCCAGCTGTTGGTGCAAGTGAGACAGACCCATTTTTCCTTAATAAAGCCTCTCAGAATATTCTCTATTGCTGTCAATATTGTTGCATCTTCCTAGTGTCACAGACCTATAACCTTCACATTTGCCTCTTCTCTCAACCTCCCTCCGTCCTTTGCCTACTCAGTCACCAATTGCTTCAATTCTCCCTTTGCTTCCTTCCCTCAAATTTTCTTCCAGCTATCCTCTCCTTTCCATGCCTGTTGTCTTTACTGTAGTCTGACTTTATGTCAACTCATGTGACTGCCTCCAGTCTTAATCCTTGTCAGTCTATCTTGCACGGCATGACCAGGGTCCCCTTCCTTAAACAAAATTCCATTAAGCCACTTAACAACTCAAAGCCTCCACTAACTCTCCAATGGTTAATTTTACTCCCTAAAAATCCTGACATGTTAGTCCTCTCCTCCCCATTTTCTTCTTCATATCTAAGAGCGTTGCTCTTCCTATACCATATTCTTTTTCTTTAATAATTTTCTTGCAACTTCACTTTATAGTGATGTTTGTATTGTTGTTTGGTGCCTCATAAACTATTGATTTTCTCTTTACAGAAGAAAATCAACTCCAGTATATACTGTGGAGACGTATAGAGCATGTCAAGCAACTGAATGCCTGGACCTATCCTGAATCTCCATAGTTGGCAACTGATCCATGAGGATGCTTAGCCTCTGAATCAATAGTGCTTCCTCTCACCCAGTGCTCCTTTCCCCTTCTCCTGGTGCAGAATGGCAGCTGACAAGAATCTTCAATAAACTCCCTGCAATTCAACTGTGGATGTGTGTTTTCTCTGAGCCAGAAATGGGACATCCTAGGGGAATAAAAAATTGGGGACATCCTGGCTATATAGATTGGAGGCTGCTGTCACACCTAATTCATAACTTAATAGTCAGGGACCACACATGATCTCTAATATACCACATATGGTCATCACTGTAGGTAGATAGAAAGATACACACAAGGCAGAGTCATAGATTCATACACATTTCTCTGTCTTTTTCTGCGCTACTTATTGGTTTCCATTTTTTCTGTATGCTCTGCATTTATTTGACCTCTTCTCCCCAGCCCCAACTCCATCACTTCTCTGAAGGTCCAGGGATTCCCAAATACAGCTTGGTCATTCCTTGAGCACTGGAGAATGCCTTAGTGGTCTTTTACTAGTGAAATCTCTTACTTCGGAGTCCTAGAAAGCCTCTCCAGCCATGCCCTTCTTTCATTATCTCTGGGTCCCAGAGATTGTCTCATTTCTCCCCTTCTTTGCTGGCATCATGGGTTCTTCCGCCTGGGTTCCCATTCTTTTGGAACAGTTTCCTAGCTTCTCTCCCTCTCCTTCATTCCCTGAAACAAAATCAGAGCTCTTTTGAGGGGTTCTATATTTTCCCCTTATTTATAAATACTGGGTAGCAGTGGCAAAAATAACAAACACAAGGAAGTTATAATGGGAGGCAATGTAGCCTAGTGGATAGAGAGAAGAGTCAGACAGACCGATCTTCAAAACCCACCCTAACATGTCTGTTTGTGTGGCTATAGTCAGGTCACTTCTCAGACTCCATTTTCTCACCTCTTAAATGGAGTTAGTGATACCAACCTTGGGAGGCTGAAGCAACACGATGCATCTGTTAAAGTTTAAAACACTCTATAATCATCAGTTACAGTTACAAGAAACTTTAATAGCGTTTGACATGTCAATGGAGCTAGAAACCTGATCGTTTTGAGATCTCATCCCTTGGTTTTCTGAGCTAGGATTTCATGGCACCTTTTCCCCTGAGATCAAACTCATCTCACCTCTCACCCATTCAGGCTTTCCCCACTCCTTCTGCCAATTCCTCACTTTGAAAAAATCACAGGAGCAGAGAGCATGGATCACATGTGCTGGCACACCCAGCCTATTTCTTTTGCATGATTATGAAGTAAATACTATTTATTTCACCAGACTTTGGCACACTTCTGTCAAAAGTCCTGTTGGTTTACTTACTTTTTTTTTTTTTGCTTTTCGGTAAGGCAATCGGAGTGAAGTGGCTTGCCCAGGGTCACACAGCTAGTAAGTGTTAAGTGTCTAAGGCTGAATTTGAACTCAGGTCCTCCTGACTCCAAAGCCAGAGGTTTATCCACTGTACCACCCAGCTGCCCCAGGTTACTTACTTTTAACCAACTGTGAGGTGTATAATGAACCTGGAAATCCAAATATAATTCTACAGATAAGTCTGGAAGATGGGTAATTCAGGACAAATAGGATCAGACACTGAAATTATATTTTCAACAAGTTAGTAGTTAGCAAAGAACTAAGAAACACCATCATTGTTCACATAGAAACATGCATATAAATGGAGTCACCTATAGATAAATAGACAAATTCATCACTTTGTCCACTTTTTTTAGTACTTAGGATAGTGACTGGAACCATGATTTCATTGGTATAGGGATTTCTTGGGTAAGGAAACTCCCTCTACAAATACGTATTGGCATCTTCTTTGTCTTGATTAGAGCAGCTAAGTCTTTCGCAGTTGCTCATCATTACAATATTGAAATTACTATGTACAGTGTTTTCCTAGTTCTACTCATTTCACTTTGGGTAAGTTCATATAAATCTTCCCAGGCTTTTCTGAAAGCATCTCTGTAAAATTTCTTACAGCATAATAGTACTTCCTCACAATGATATACCACAACTTATTCATTGTTGTTTAGTCATTACAGTCATGCCTGACTCTTTGTGACCTCCATTTGGCATTTTCTTGGCAAAGATACTAGAGTGGTTTGCCATTTCCTTCTTCAGCTCATTTTGCAGATGGGGAAACTGAGATAAACAGGGTTAAGTGACTTGCTCAAAGTCACACAGCTAGTAAGTGTCTGAGGCCAGATTTGAGCTCAGTACTTCCTGACTCCAGGCCTGGAGCTTTATCCTCTGCCACCTAGTTGAACAATTTGTTCAGCTTTCCACCAAGAAAGAGTTGTTATAAATATTTCTGTCCATACAGTTCCTTTTCCTTTGATCTCTTTGGGATACAGACCTAGTAGTAATATTGCTGGTTTGAAGATTATACATAGCTTTACAGCCCTTTGCGCATAGTCCCAAATTGTTCTCCAGAATGGACAGATCAGTTCATAGCTTCACCAACAATGCATTAATGTATTTTCCCCACATTTCTTCCAGAATTTGTCATTTTCCTTTTCTGTCATGTAGCCAGGGTCAGATGGAACCTCGGAGTTGTTTTAATTTGCATTTCTCTAATCATTAGTGATTTAGAGCATTTTTTCATAGAGCATTTTTGATAGCTTTGATGTCTTCTTCTGAAAACTGTTCATAACTTTTAACCATTCATCAACTGGGGATTAGCTCTTAGTTTTTACAAATTTGGCTCCGTTCTCCATATATTTGAGAAATGAGTTCTTTATCAGAGAAACTTGCTACACACATTCCCCCCCACCCCAGTTTCCTGTTTTTCTCCTAATTTTGGCTACACTGGTTTTGTTTGTGCAAAACGTTTTTAATTTGACAGAATCAAAATCCATTTTACTTCTGTTATCCTTCCTATCTCTTGTTTGGTCACAAATTCTTCCCTTATTCATAGATCCAACAGGCAGATTTATCCATTTCCCCTAACTGATAACATCCTATCTAAATTATGTACCCATTTTGACCTTATCTTGGTATACAGTGTGAGATATTGATCTATGCTTAATTTCTGCCAAGCTGCTTTCTAGTCTTCCCAGCAATTTTTGTCAAATACTGAGTTTTTGCCCCCCAAAGTTCGATCTTTGGGTTTATCAAACACCAGATTACTAGGGTTGTTTACAACTACATATTGTATGTATATCTACTCTATCCCACTGACCTACCACTCTATTTCTTAGTCAGTACCAGGTTGTTTTGATGATTACTGCTTCATAATATAGTCTGAAATATAGCATTACTTGGTCACCTTCCTTCACATTCTCTTTCAGTTGATTCTCTCAACATATTCTTGATCTTTTGTTCTTCCAGATGAATTGTGTTATTTTTTCTAGCTCTATAAAATAATTGTTTGGTAGTTTGGTTGTTATGGCACTGAATAAGTACCAGTAATAATACTGGTATGGCTACTTTTAATAAGGCAGTGACTAAACCTTGTGTGATCCTTACTATAGTTCTACAGTGTGTGATTTTTTTTTTTCTGACTGCTTTCAGTATTGTTTTCCTTGACATAGGAGCTCTGGAATTTCCCTATAACTTTCCTGGGGTTTTCATTTTGGGATCTCTTTCAGGAAATTATTGGAGGATTCTTTCAACTTTCTATTTTGCCCTAAGATAGTTTTCCTTTATAATTTCTTGAAATATGATGTCAAAGTTCTTTTTTCATTGTTTTCAGGTAGTCTAAGAATTCCTAAATTATCTCTCCTTCATCTATTTCCCAGGTTAGTTGTTTTTTCTCTGATTTATTTCACATTTTCTTCCATTTTTTCATTGTTTTGACTTTGTTTTATTGTTTCTTAATATCTCATGAAATAATTAGTTCCAATTTTCCCAATTATAATTTTCAAGAAATTATTTTCTTCAGTGAGCTTTTGCACCTCTTTTTCTGTTTGACCAATTCTGCGTTTTAAAGAGTCATCAATGTAATTTTGTACCTCTTTTATGATTTAGCCAAATCTAACTTTTTAAGGAGTTCTTTTCTTCAGTAATGTTTTGTACTTCTTTTGCCCTTTGGCCAGTTATGTTTTTTCATATGCTATTTTCTACAGCATTTTTGTGTCTCTTTTTACCAAACTGCTAATTCTTTTTTTCATAATTTTCTTGCATCTTTCTCATTTCTTTTTATCAAATTTCCCTCTACCACTCTCATTTGATTTTTAAATTCCTTTTTTTGGTTCTTTGTTTAGCTCTTACAGAATTCTTGTTGGATTTGTGTCCAATGTGAATCTTTTTTTTTTTGTAGCTTTGCTTGTAACTCTCCCATCATGTCACTGTCTTCTTCTGAGTTTGTGTCTTGACTTTCCTTGTGACCATGATAACTTTTTATTGTCAGGTTTTCTTTTCTTGACTTTGAATTGTATGTTAAAGTTGGGTTCTGCTTATCTGGAGAGAGGCCGCTGTGCCAAGCTTCAGGCTTCTCTCTCCTGCCCCTATCCCTCTGCTGCTGTTTTTACAGCTACTTCTGGAGGTTTGTAAGTTTTTGGTGTTTCAAAGATGGTATGATCCAGGGAGAGGTGTGATCACTCTCTCCTGGTCTATGCTCTGGTCCTTACCCAGGACGGACTCCAGCTTTCTCTTGCACCAGGTACTAGCACCCCTGTCTGCCCTGGAACTATGACCCAGAATTGGGTATGTGAAATGGTATTGTGTAAAGTGCTAGCACAGGGGTCCCCTGTAATATCTTTCTGACCAGTTTTAAAATTCCCTTGCCATCTCTGGGCTGTTCCTGAAACTGCTGCTACTGCTGCTGAAGCCACCTCCAAGGTCTACAACTGGACCAGTCTCTACCCTAGTGTCACAGACCTCTCCTTCTGACCTCTTAAGTTGTCTTGGGCTGGAAAAATGTCTCACTCTTCCTGTTGTTGTATATGCCGTGCTAGAATTTGATTTGATGCTCTATTTTGAAGTTGTTTGGAGAATAATGTTGGGAGAGTTTGGCTGTAATGCTCCCTCTACTCTGTCATCTTGGCTGCCAGTGCAGGTCTTTTTATTAATCAATTAATCAATAAATGTTTATTAAACGCCTGTTATGTGCCAGGCACTATTCTAGTCAGCAGAGATACAGAAACAAAAATGAAACA